GGACATACGATGAGGTATTATACACTTTATATATTTTATTTCAATTAGTTTTATATTAAAAAATCATTTTCCAAATACTTATTATTTTTCAACATAGATACAAAATCCAGATGTCGTTCCTGATGCACTGCAAAACTTGGTTGGAAAGACTTTTCAGTTTCTAATTTGTGTTGAGAAAGAAAATCTCTTCGGTGGTAGTAATACATACAAGGTCGGAAAAGTTTGGAAGGCAATCAGATTTTGACTACCACCGTTGATGATGCGAATGAATCTGAAGATGGGGGTGATCAGAGTTTACTCATGTCTGGCGATCAGGTAAAATTCATATGATGTGAATGTATTTTTATATTTATGGGACAATACTATATCTTGAAATTTATTATTTATAGGTATCACTGATGAACACACATAGCCAAGAGTCTTCAGATGATTTTTCTGGCAATATCAAAACTCCTTTATCAAAGCGTGAGCGTGATGATCCTAAAGATTCAGTCGACTCATCCACATCGTCTAAGAAGTCATGTAATAGTGAGAATAGTGTGGAAACGACATATGCTAATGAAGTGATTGATGAGGATACACTGAAGAGTGATGGTGTTTTGGTGAATGCTCTTCTTACAAGTGAATCCAATGAAGGTGTTGCAAAAGGACGAACTCGAGGACGTGGTGGTGGTAAAGTTGTTGGCAAAGAGGGAGCCAAAAATGGGAAGATGTGATCCCATATATTCTAGAGTTTATGAATTTGTTATTATTCAATTTTTTATTGAATAACTTTCTCTTTTCCAATATTTGGTTTAGTATTTTGAGCATTCAGATATTTATTTTTTTGTGGTTAGTTAACTGTTTCTAGAATTTGAATTATTAATAAAATATGTTTGCGTTTTGCATACTATGTTCGTCAGTCACATGTTATACATTTTAATTTATTTGCATCAAAAAAATATAAGTATAATATATGAGTAGTTTAAATAAATACTCCTTATGAGTTTTGACGATGATCCTTACGAGTTCTGACGAACTTGAGAATCCATCGTCTGGACTTTCACTCACTCCTTTATATAAGAAGCTAATTTAATTTTTTTTGGTATTTGTGAAACTTTTTTTGTTGCATATTTTTATTTAATTTTGGAACTAGAATTTTTCCCTACAATTTGTTTTCCTAATTCAGTTTTTTTAAAATTTAATTTGTGATTTAAAATTTTTGGTTCAACCAACTGTCATAAATTTAAACGAAAGTTTCAATTAAGACGACATTAAAACCATAACCATTTTACTCCATCACATAGAAAACTATTCATTTCCTTATTCTCTTTCATCTTCAAACTTAACAAAAAAGTTAAACAAAGAATGTCTCCTTGTGAAAGAGTTTCCGATCTTCAGAAGACAAACGGTGGATATCGTATTTGTGTACAAATACTAAGAGATTATTATGATTATACTCTCTTCGATCGACCTAATCGGATGTTCGTTCTTGTGGATGAATTTGTAAGTTTTAGATGTTTGAATATATTTACCGTATATATGTTTTAGGAATGTATTTTTCAGTTATTTATTTTGATAAACCGTGTAGGGCAATCGCATCCTGTCTACTATTCAATGTGATATAATAGACAAATTCGAGTATGCATTGGTTGAAGGAGATTGGGTTTTTCTTGGTAATTTTGAAGTTACTGATAGAGTGATTCGTCCAAGTATATCATCAAACAACTATCATATACCTTTCCTCGAGGATACCATTGTTAAGAAAACCGATCCGAAGTCGTCCAGAGGAATATAATCTTTTTGTGCATTCATGAATATTTTATATAGATTTATTCATACAGATAGATATCTTGGTATGTTTCTTACAACTTTTTATTTTAAATCGTGTATGTAAGGAAGTCCAACATGTATTTAAAGGCAGTCTTTTATTTTTGCAGTTGATCTTCTGTGTGTTGTCACAATTGTTCAGAAACTTCAGTTAGGAGTTCCTATGTCCGATACATCGGACACACCCACGCAACGTCCACTTATTCGTTTTAAAATTCAAGATTTCAGGTCTGTACAACTTATCCTCAAAACATATGTTATGTGTATATTGTTTACAAATTTTAAAGTATATTAATAATGTTATAAATGATTTAAATATACAGTGGAGAATCTTTGAAATGTATTGCTTGGGATAACTTGGCAAGGAAATTTGAAGAACTTTGAAGGGGTCGTGAAAGATCTTCTAGGCATATTATTGTATTGCGATTTTTCTCTTTCACTAGATGGAGAGGTAACTAACTACCTCATTATTTGATATTTTAATTAATTATAAGTTTTACATATAGATATTTTTCCCATATACTGAGTATGTCTATGTATTTAGATGAATGGATAGTTGAATCGGAAAGATTCATATCTGATATTCTCGAGGATCCTCCTACCCCAGAAGTGGAAAGAGCAAGGTTGAGGTATGTTTATTCCATCTTTGATATTGTATCCTATAGTTTAATATTTATAAATATATATATATATAATGATAAAAAATCCTAATATTTTTTCAGGCTTGCAACTTCCATTGATTTTCTTCCGTCCTTGATGAATATGAAGACCATTCTCAGTAAAAGAGATTATTGTTTCCTATTTCTTATTTCTATAGTGTTAAACTTGAAAATCTTAACTTATATATTATTCTGAATAAGATAACTTATCCAAACAATTTAATTGTGTTAGCATTTTTTCTTGAATCATACTCTATTTGTTTTCAACAAAAAATAACTATGATATTCAAAATTTGTATGGTCCGTGATTTGTGTCTGTATTAAAAATAGAGTACATAAATTCCGGGATTGTACTCTCATTAATTATTTATAATTAATGAAATGAATTCATTGATTTAATTAAAGAGAAGTAGTCAGTACAAGATATGACATTTTTCTACTATCTTTACATATTTTCTATATATATTTAATCAATATAAAAGTTAAATATACCTATGAATTGAATGTAGCCAATTTGGTTTGTTCGTAATTCACGTAGTGCAACAAATGTCAAAGGTTGCAATTTATTCTAATTTTACAAAACGACACAACCTTTCAAACCCTATACTTGCTTTGCTATACATATAAAGGACCAAGTAAAAAAATGTCTCTCCATCTTAACGAAAAAAAACCTAAAGGTTGAGGAAAACAACCATTTTCCTGAAACATGCCTCGCTATTGTACACTTGAGTATCTTTCTCCCACAAAAACTGACTCCATAATTCTTATAAAAGTTCTACGAGTTTGGGAACACTTCAACTACCGTAATCAACACCAGGAATTGCATCTTATCTTCGGTGACGAAAATGTAAGTTCATCTTTTTGAAGTTTTTTATTTTGTTGTATTTTATGAACATTTAAACACATGAATATCAGAAATGATTATTTGGTTCACGAATTTAGGGCTACAAAATAGAGGCATCGATAGATCATGATCTTATCCCTTCGCTTGGTCCAAATTTTAAATAAGGAGAATGGAATTATATCAAATTCTTCAACGTTATCAATGCGTTCGGATCATTCAGAAATACTATAAACTACCACTTCATCAACATGAACGCCGATACTGTTGTAGACAAGACCTTTCAAGTCAATCCTAAGCATATGATGGATTTTATGTCATTTGATGCCATTATCCGAGGAAATTTTCCTACTGAGTAATCTATTGGTTAGGCTTATTACTTTTATTGAATTTAAGAATTAGTATAAATATTGTGTAATGAATTTTTTTTTGTAGACTTGATCGGCGTAATCATCTATGTTGATGATGAACTAAGTTCTGACATTGATGATCCCTACGAGATGATTTTTAGACCTACTCAAAAATTGGACATTCAGATAAGAGACATGAAGTAAGATGTTTTATATTATCATCTATATATGTAAAGGCAAATAATTTGTCTTATATTGTACATATGTATTTTTGTTAATGTTGTGGTAATATAATTTTTTTGGTTTAGTTATGTTGATATGGACATAACACTCATTGGGAAGACTGCTCTGGATTTCTGGAAGAAGTGGGAAGACATAGGTACTTATGAAAGAGTATTGACTTTGCGCATGTTTCGTCTCACCTATGATTATGAAGGTTAGTAATTAAATTTTATAATCTAGTGGGAACATTCAATTCCACTTTGTTAATATGATAATTTGGCTTCTAACATGTGTGCTCTTTATATTTTAAAATCATACAGGGATATATCGCATAAGGAATGCTGGAGACCATTCTGAAATATTTTTCAATCGTCACATAGAAGAGATTTCCGATTATCTTGACTGGTAATTTTTCTAATTGATATTAATATATATATAATTTATTTTATAGTTTATTTTAATATTTTTTTCCATTGTTAACTTGAAATTATTTTGGTCAGGCTTCCTTTTACCGATATCCATGAAGATCCAAGCTGGTCATAATTTTAATCCTTATTATGTACTTATATTTTCTCGTAACTGTTAAACATTCCCATTATGTAATATTTTCCCATAAAACTATGATGAATTTGAACCTACTTTAGTATATTTGTAATGACTTATTTAGTATTTATGTATGGTAATGTTTAATTGCCAATTTACTTATGTCATTTAATATCATTGTATTTATTGTTTATATATTTTACATGTATATATGTATAATTTTGGATATAACATATACCATCTATATATAGAATCTATTTGATTTTAGAAAGGTTACTTCCTTTATAGACATTTTCTTCTATCGAATATTACCGGTCCGGTGACCAAACCGGAAACATTTTTGGGTCATGGATTAATATGGTTTAACTGGGTTCAACCAGGTTCAACCGGTTTGATGATATTTTACAACCTTTAATTAATTAAATATTAAATAAAATTCTTTAATATTTAAGAAAACATTCATAAAATAAATCCAAAACAACACCAAAATAAAATGGAGTAGCATTAGCAATAATTTTAAAAAAACCTCAATAGTCTAAATAAAAAAGAGCACCAAAATAAAATAGAGTAGCACATTCAATCTTCCTTGTCCAAATCTTCATCACCTTGAAAAACAAAAAAAGCAAAATACATATTAATCAAATATTTTAAATTTTGAATTATAGAATGAAAAAATAATTAAAAAAAATAAACTATTAACCATCTTTAGGATATTCTTCAAGAAGTTTATCTTCTAACTCAGAATAATCAAGCTCCCCTTCTTCTTCTTCTTCCACAGTCCAAAACTCAGTTTTATCGATAGACTCGTAATCAACTGGATCATATGATCTACTTCTCTTCGATCTACACATAAAGACAAGAAACTATATATTAATAAATATGCATAAAAAAAAATCTATCATACTCTACAAATAACAAACCTGTTTTGTAGACGTAAATTATAATGAACATAGACAAGATCATTGAGCCTTTGATGGTCCAGCCTATTTCTCTTTTTGGTGTGAATGCGTTCAAACACACTCCAGTTCCTTTCACATCCAGATGAAGAAGCTGTTTGACTAAGAATTTGGACTGCGAGCTTTTGCAAATCAGGAATATCACAACCAAACAATTTCCACCATTCATCTACAAATACAACAAGAAAAAAATATTCCAGGTAATTAAACATCTTAAAATTTAGAGAAAAACATAATATATTAACATAACATAACATCACTAACCTGGTCGAGTAGTTTTGCTACAAGTAAGTGCCATCTCCCGAGAAAAACTTCCTTCTCGATCTCTATAGCGGCCAATAGTAGATACTAGTTTTGTTTCACTTAAACCACCATTCTGCTTTTTAATCAAATTTAGCATTCCACTTGTAATCTCAGGCTTGTCACTAAAGTTCTTTTTATCGTACAAGAAAGCTAGATTCAGAAAGTAAGCTGCAGTGTAAATATCACGACGTAACATCTTATCCCACCTGTAGTTAATGATCCTCGTATAAGGCCTATAAAGATCTTTTTTTTTTATCGAATATCTTCTTGATACCTAACCGTGCCCTATACATCCCTTCATATACATAAGCAAAGATGGTTTCTCATCAGAATCACAAATACGCAGCAAACGGATCAAAGGAGACATAATCTGCACAATCATAAAACACCCATTCCAAAAGTCTTCATCAAAAATAAGTTGTTTCACACGCTTTGCTTTCTCTGATCTCGATATTTTCCTGAACTCCTCATCAACCACCATACTCTGCAAATCATCCTTATGAGTATACAAACTCTGCAAAGCTATGAAATTTGTAGCAAAACGAGTGTCTGCAGGACGAATTATCTCTCTTCACCCTGGTCTGTTTCTTAACCAATTCAAGATATGCTTATGGTTATACGCAAACACAGTTATCTTTGATGCAGAACTGGTTAGCTTCTCCACCTGAGGTAGTTCTCCCATATCTTGAAATATCAAATTAATACAGTGGGCTGCACATGGTGACCAATATATGGCAGGATATCTTTCTACATGCTTAGCACCAGCAGCTTTGTAGTTAGGTGCACTATCTGTCACCATATGGACCACATTTTGGGGGCCAATAATCTCCACAACGTCAGAAAATAGGTTACACAAATTCTCTGCATTTGTATATATTCCAGAAGCATCGACTGATTTGATGAAAGTTATCCCTTTAGGACAGTAGACCAGAAAATTGATTAACGGTCTTTGCCTTGTATCTTTCCATCCATCATCCATCAAAGTACAACCAGTACCAGCCCATGTACTCCTAACAGAGTCAATAATTAAAGAAACTTGCAGTTTAGCATCACGTAGTAAACGAACACGTAAATCATGATATGAAGGTCCAATGTAACCATGACCCATGCTTGCAATTTTGCTGATCATAGGCTGATAAAACCTAGAATTCACTGCATTCATGGGCATACACACGTCATAGAAAAACAAAGCAACTGCCATATCAGCATCATGAATCTTTTCCTTGCTTTGCAGACATGACTTTATGGTAGGTTGCACCTGATCTTCTAAACCCCTTTTAAAGTATGAGTTTATATCGGTACTACCCTTTCTTTTCCGACTCAGAGGCACAGAACCTTGATGAGAAGCTTGACCATCATCTACATCATGAAATTGTCTCATAACATTAACCCCCCTTTTCTCTTTTGCTCTATCCTCGTTTTCTTTCAGTGACGTTCTCATTGCGTATTGAAATTCTGGAGGAACCTTCTTGCATGCATTGGTACTTCCTTTCTGTCCAGCTAAATGTTGTTTCATTCTATTGATTCCACCTCCTTGGTTTTTCTTACCGCAAAAGTCACAAGTAAAAGTACTTTTTCCAAGTGAATCTACAGTTTGAGTGACATATGCCCAAGCCGCATCGTATTTTTGACGAACAGAACGTTGTGAAGGCAATTGAGGTTCTGTATATGTATCTGATGGAAGTGTTGCATCTGAATCATTCTCTTCCATTATTGAATTCACTACAAACAAAATAATAACCAAACAAAAATAAAGCAATTAAAAAATTGATTACGTCAAAGCACACGAAGTGGTAGTTTATACTTTATATAATAGATACTAAAAGTCTAAAACTAACTAAACTCAACAAACTATTCAATTATTTAATGGTTGTAAAACGTAGTAATCGTTCTATGCTTTGATCAAAATTGAAACACTTTACCTTGATTTTGAACTGTAAACGTAGTAAGGCGGTGGTAAGTTGCAGAGAGAAAGGCAGAAAGCTGTAAACTTAGAAACCCTATATCAAATAACGAAGGTAGAAATACGTAAAAAAGAAAGAAAAAAAAACGATTTAAGCTTTTTTCTTTGAACCGGTTTATGCGGTTTGACGGTTCGGCCGGTTTCTGGTTTTTTAGCGGTTCAGTCTGGTTTTTTAACCAGTCTAACTTTATGTGGGTTTTAGTATTAACCCAACCCGGTTATACCTCCGGTTCGCGGTTTAACATGGTCAGACCGCCGGTCCGGTCCGGGTTTAAAAACATTGGTGTAAGAGTAAATTGAAATTAATTCCGATTGACGTTTTAATTTCAGTGCTGACAACTGACGTTAATCGTTTCTTATAATATTTAGAGTTGAGTGTAAAATATTATAAATTATCGATGTTTTAATGTATGTGGATTATAATCAATGTAGCAGATGAGCTTATAATCTTACGAATCAATACACATATATGAGAAAGTGATATGGGAAAATAATTATTTTTTATTTGAATCAGTATAATACAATTTATTGTAGCATCATGCTTAGATAATTTCAATAAAGATAGATAATTAAGGTACAAAAAAAACAGAGATAATTTTAGCTAAACTCTTAAGTTTCTCCTTCAACGTTTATTCTTATGTGCCTGTAAGATTCAAAAAACATATAATGTTGTTAGCTTCAATCATATTTGTTAAACAAATCAATGTATTAATGGAATATTAACAGCTTAGCCACGGAGATGTATCTAGGTACCGGATCTCTGTCTTCACGAAGTCGCATTCTATACATTTCAAACCTTTCTCCAGATCTATATGGAGATCGTGTTTTCCTTTCTTGCAACGTTCTTTTGGATCATTAGTCGATATTTCTTCATCAGGCTGCAGATATTACATATTGATATAAACATCCAATAATACAGAAATCATCAATAAAACCGAATAATTTAAAGTTTAAATTACCTCATAAGGAACCTCGATGGCATTCGCAGTTGATTTGCTGAGAAAGTCCTTCATCTCTTCCCATATATTAGTTTCCTCAATCTATGATTCAGAAATTGGAGGAGGTGATGGTGTTTCTTCCACACCAAATCTCATGTTCAATGGTGGTGGATTGATTTTCAGTAATCTGTTTTCATCATAACGTTTTTCTTGGTTATTCTCTATTTTTTTCTAATCTCTTATCAGGCGTTGAAGGTGGAAGAGAAATTTTAAGAAGTATGTTTATAATCGAAGCAACTCTTATTTTATATAGGATAAGATAATTATAAAATATTCAATGTCAACAATTTTCTATGTTTTATTGGAATACTGTTTCAACCAACCAGTTTGACTTTTTAACTTTCGCTTTTGATATATGAACATAATATTTACACACGTCTTCTTTGTCCAATTCACACAAATTAGCTCATACAAAAATATTGAAATTTTTTTATTTTCGTTTTTACAGTTTGATTTAAACCGCAATATATGGTAACATAATTTCAAATTTTGGAAATCTTTTGATAAAATTTAACAACTTTTTAAATTTCAATTTTAACTGAAATACATAATATATAAAATGCAATTTTTTGTTATTTGAGATAATTGCAAATGAGAAATAATAATTCTAACAATCCTAGAAATTAGAAAAATCGTTATAGTTCAAATTAAACAATTCCAATTAAAAGGTATTTCTTGCACAATATTGGATCTCATTCGAGGTAAATAACAATTTTCTACATAATTAGAGTTTTTTCTAAAAATTCCAGTCAATAATAGAGAACGGTATACATTTCTGTTTAACTACTGAGCAAAATAACTTGTATCTCACTCTACAATAAGTACACTGTCAATACTCTATCCAGAAGTTGGTATAACAGTATACTTCCTGTCGAAAGAGAGCATTCACAAGTAATATAATTACAATAACTATGTGGCGACATAATGAATAAAACTACTTACTCTGATGTGATTCTTCACAGATACACAAGAAATATTATGTAGGAAAACGTGTATTTTTCTTTCATGTAAACATATTTTTTGTACGTCTATGTAAGGATCACATCAGAAGAATAATTGTAGTATGGGTTATGTTTGAGTGAGTAATTGTTTGCTTGGTTAGTTAATCAAAATTCCATTATGGTGTGTATTTATAGAATTCTTAGAGAGTGACTTCTCATTTTTCTTTACTGTGTTTCATATTCCCCAAAAATCGTTTATATTTAAAACATATTAAATAAAATTTGACTGATTTATCACAATTTCCAAACAAAGATATATTTCGAAATAAATAAATACATCTTCACATATAATCTATAAAATATGTTCATATATGTCACATTTCGATGAATAACTTAAAAACATAAAATTAATGTATCTATTCATAATTACATGTATTTTTCATCTACACTTTCTTCATTATACTTACCTAATTATAATTGCGTTGAATTTATAACTGCAAATATGAGGCAATTTTAAGACACAATACAATTCTTAAACTAATAACATACCATTTGGCCTAAAATTAGTAACACTGCACCCACACACAATGTCAATTATCAATATTGTAAAATTCGACCCAATAAACTTAACAATATACCCAATTAAATTAAAATATTAAAAAACATTCAGACGTTCAGGTTAAATCATCTTGGAATAAATAAATCTCATTTATTATACAGTATAATTATTCCTATTAAGTAGTTTAATGGTTCATCACATTTCCAACTGACAAAGCATATTCTCTTATAATTATCCCTATTAAGTAATTTAATGGTTCATCACATTTCCAACTGACAAAGCATATTCTCTTATAATTATCCCTATTAAGTAGTTTAATGGTTCATCACATTTCCAACTGACAAAGCATATTCTCTTATAATTATCCCTTGCCTTGTACTCGAGTATGTTGAGGCAAGATTTAATCTCTTGCAATTCATCATCGGCTCTTTCTCTATAACAAGAGGCAAAATAGCTAGTCTCCTTAATTTCTTGCTTTGTGTCGGGGGTATCATTTGAGTTTTGAATGATATCATACTTCTGCTTTGTTCACTCTTCTACATAAGATTCCATCCTCTTCTTCAGCATCTTTGAGATTTGGGTTTTCAAGGGTTTTAACATGTTTAGAGAGATCATCAAACTTCTTCTTTAAACTCGGTGGAGAAGGCATCAATCAGTCTATGCAAGGCAGATTTTGAGACAGCTTGAGAGTCAAGGTACTTGTTGATCATAGCTAACCGCAAGCTGACTTGATAGTTCTCATCATTTTAATTTATGAATTGATGGGCAAGAGGATAAGAAGGTAGTCAACAGTTCACCATGGGAGATGCATAAGCTTCATCTTGGTAATAAGGAGGCTTGTGGCATCCTTGAGTAAAATGATGGCTCAAGAATGAGTTCTAGTCCATATAGTATGAATCACATCCACACTACTGCCGTAATTCGTGAGAGTAGTGAGCAACACATGGGTTGTAGAACCCTCACTCATAGTAATGATCTCACATTGAAGGTGGATCAGTGTTTGAGAGACCTGACACAAGG